ACTATACCATATTCTTACTCCAAGCTCTTGTTTTAATCGAAATCCTAACTTAGTCTTAATTCCAACCGTAACTCTAACCTTAACCTGGACACTATCCCTAGTCTCCCTGCAAATGGGAGCAAGGCCTCGTAATGGTTCTTATTCAAATTTCTAGCCGCTAGGGCCTGAGGATAAGCACCGATCTGAGCAGGGGACGTGGTTGTCCCTTGCGTTATACTGCCCCTACGAGGCGGGATCAACATCTTGTTAGTTTGATCGACACAGTTGGTCGAATGAGCAAGTTGGCCCTCGAAACCTGTACTTAAGTGAACTGTTCAGACGCTGTTGGTGATGCTTTAGAGTCATAAGAACGCTGCTTGCTGGCAATGTGACTTAGATAATGTCTGAGGTTCTCATGTGCGTAGCCTCGGTTTTCATGCCTATCTCTTGGAAGGCTCTTTGCAATGTTTCGTCTCCACTTCTATAATCAATTGCTTAAACAATGAATTACAGTTCTATTCCTTTAATCAGGTAATAGTCTCCCTGGAAGTTCGCAACTTGTACAGGTGGGCAGGTATCTACTCACTACTCACCATCACAAGCTCAACCATGAATCCTTTGCTTTACGTGCAGTTGTTAACTCCTCTTAACAGCATACAGTCACATCTATGCGAAATAACTACTTCGCCCGGTTTTCCACTCCTTGAGTCTGAAAGAAGCGAAGTTGCTTTTTATTCGAAGGAATTCCTAGACTGCAGATCCCCTTTCAAAAATTATTCTGTTAAGACAGGTTTCATCACTCACGTTTATGCCTGAACTAGAATCAGATTACCGTCTACTATTCGACTGTAGGCTAATGGCGTTGAGGCGGTTGCTTACATGTCACCATCAATTTTTGTCTTTTTGCACACAAATCGCTGACACCTTTAACACTTTGAAACGTTCCCAGTTTGCTTGTCGCACTATCTTGCCTTATCATTTAATGAAAAAAGCTCTTTAAGCATAATGTTGTTTGCTCATCGGAGCCATATCGTTATTCATTTGAACTTTCGAACTCGCACACCAGTCCATCGTCAGGGAGAAAAACGAGGTAAAAGAGCAACTGTTATAGGGGGTCAGAGCCAGTCAAACTCCAGTACCGCAGGTCTGAATGGGACTACGCAGGACTGTGTGCTGGCGCCAGATTGATACATCGATCGACTGACTTCCCGTCAGAGGCCCAACCTTCAATCAATTTGCGCCTTGTCTTGCTTCTAGCGTGGACCATTATCCTCGTAGCTGCAACGTTAAATCGGTAACCCGTTCCGTAGGTGTGGGCAGACGCTTGTGATAATACATCACCGTTTCATACACCCAGCCTTTGTTCGTTTGTGCGCAACCCGAGTGTGCGTTGAGTCTGATCTGATCTGATGATGGACTCGTGTATAAGTTTGAAAGCTCATATTCATAAAGAAATGGTTCCGGTAATCGAACAGTCTGCTTCTTACCTACTTATCCATAAACCTGAAATGCAAGCATTCGCCTTAATTCACAAAAACCATTTACGCTGGTTGTTACCATGCTTTTCGCCTTCTTTCTCCCCCAAGTGACTTACGTCGCTATCCTCTCTGATGCGACTGCTCATTCACACCCTCATTTGCGCGACTTTGCAGAAATTAATCCTGCCTTTCATTGACCCCCTTCGAATTCGCGGATCCCCCTCATTTCTTGTTTTTTCATGAATCCCAAGTCCTGCCTTATGCTCACTAGGCACTCTGGTGAAAATGCCGACCATAACGCCCACCGAAAGTACCTAACCTCTCTCAGCGCCCGGAATCACGCTCACTTCTCCTCGCGGGCTGATCCTTGCACACAAGAAGCTCTCTGCAAGGCTCGCATATCAGCCAATCGGACGCGTCGTTTGTTGAATCTGGAAGCTGTAGGAGACCCCGCTGCCGGCGACTCAGAGAGTCCGTTTACCCCGTCAACTGACGATGAGACCCTAGGCACACTGCCTGGCGGTGACGATGACAGGTGGTTTTGCTTGGAGGCATCCAGTGATGAGGTGGGCAGTGCAGACAAGGAAGCTGCTGTTGTTTCCGATCAGGTAGGCTTCTTCCAGACTTCTTATCTCCTCTTCTTCCTTATGTCTCAGTTTATAGACGACGGCAATTTTAGACAATTTCTCACCTTACCAGTAATTTTTTGAAAAATAGGCATCCCAATGCGGCTCTAGTTGAGTCAGACAACAAGTGGGTCGCAGTTCTTGTATCAAGCATGCCTTTAACACGAGGCAGGCGGTGAAACAAAACAACTCTATGAAGGCAGGAACAGACACCTCAACACTCTGATGATGGAAAACACCTGGGACCCGAACCAGAGAGCTTTGGTCATTGAGTTGAACGCTCTACCAATGAGCCATGGGCTCGCTGTGTTGTCAGTTATGATAGTGGCGATCAAAGATCAATATCCGCATATGCTACTAGTCGCTATGCGACTGCCTGCGAGGCCTCTAAATTTAGCCCTAAGGTACAATCAGGCGAGCATGCCCCTTGGAGTGGCTGGTGTGCACTACTTCATCCTCATCTTGGATGCCTGTAGAAGTATAATATCATACTCTCGATATAGATACTAGCTTTGCGCCTAGACACGTGCTTTGCCGATTTTTCTGTTGCCGCATGATGCAGCTGCGAGGGTACTCGGCTCCTCAATGGGTCCGCTAACGTTCTCTATGCGGTTTCTGGTATATGAACTGCAGAGAATAAGCAGAGTAATACCTTCAAAGATTACCGAGTGCAGGACATAGGGTCAAGTGTCCCGGATAGGAATTTTTAGAATCAGACCCGAAATTTAACTAAAAATTTCAGTCGAAGACAATCAGCTACTGTGGATACCCACGCAATACATATTCTTCTAACAGGTAGTGCTACCAGTCATGTAGATAACTTATAATACCGTACTCCTGACATCGAATTCACACAGAGAACGCTGTAGGAACCACTAAGGAACCGAGACCCTTGCAGCTGTATCACACTGCAGCAGGAATATTGACGAAACATTTATATGTAATTTTAGCCAGTACCTATGTCGGGAGTACTGCATGCAATCTCTACACGCATTCACGAGTATCAAATGGCAATAAAGAAGTAAGACCACTTTTTTAAGTGGTCATGCGTACGCTAACTATCAGGTACACCGCCCGGGACAATAGTGGCATTGTCGGCGTCTGCCGAGAGTTTCTAAAAGACATGCACGTAGACGATTCAGGCATAAATTGGCATATTGAGTTAGGTGCCGTGTACGCAAATCTGAAGGTCAACTGGAAGAAACGAGAACCAATCACTACAGAACGAGGCACGGGGTGGCCGATTACTAGCGCAAACGCCGAACAAGTCAAGATTTTTTAAACCCATTTGAAATGGTTTACTCTTTTTGCACATTTAATACACATCTGACGACAACCTTGAGAACCAACGTCGAAACGTTGCCCAATGAAGTTTTATGTCTTCCTCGAAAAACGTACTTATTTGGGAAAACTACATAACGCAATTAGGGAGCGTTCTTTGTCATATATAGGCTCGGAATCTATAAGATCGTTGTTCTACACATATATCTGACAGGGTGAAAGTTTCTAATCACTGCATAATGTTGTCATCTTTTACAAATTTTTCCCTCCGTCTTTTATCTTCATTTTCAATCGAAGTCAACACGATGTTTCAGGTTATCATAGTTATCACATTGGCCTATGCAAACAGATTCTGTCACAGTACCTCCGGAGTTTTGTTTGCTTTACAGCTGCATCGATTAATGACGACCTTTACTCACCAATTGTCTTTTCGTGTTGTCTGTTGACGGTTAGGTGCAGTTTGCGTGCCTCCGAACATAACTCGTTCGCGGTGACCGTCACAGGGCTGGATTTTGTGAATCTTATTCGAGAGACTTTATTCTTGAGTCTGAAACAAAAACGACTAGGTTGTTTTAAGAGTCTTAACTTATGCTTCGTCGCAATTGAACACTGTCGGGATGAAGTTGTCCAGTGAATGGATTTGTTGATAATCCCATGTTCACATTGGTCCGATACATGTTCCACCCACTTTATACTTTTTCATCCCTGTATTTTAGCTATACTCTGCCGCCGACCTACGCCACCACCACAATCGCCAGCCCTGTTATAATACGGGGCCGGC